TAGTTCCCGTACTGACCTGTTAAAAATAACACATTTATCACTATTTGGCTCGGGGACAAAGCTCTAAAACAACAGATGGAATCAATACTAAACTTTGCAAAGGAATTATATAGGAAAATCAACAGTTCTTTCTAATGATTGATGATTGTGTGAATTTCTTTTTATGTTCCCAGCATTTTCTTCTTTTGAGAGACTCTAAGTAAACGCCATTGGTGCTGGGTGCTGGTTATAACACAGTTCCTAATGGGTATTAATTGAGTTCCATTCCAGGCTGTGCTCAATCGTAAATTAGCATACTGCACAATAGTCACATAAAAGGTAAAGAACAGAAATAATTACCTGGGTATTTTAATTAGTGTTCACATATGAGGAATCAGCATTCTCACAATCAGACCACACACACATCTCCTTTCCCCAGTTTCCCAGTATTGCTGTAGACAGTATTTTGGCTAAATCTATATTCAGTGGCTGACATTATTGTGACTCTGAATATACTATTCATGGCTAAGCCACAAAATACCTATGATGACATTTGTCTGTCTATGTATTTTTCCATTGTTACTAATTATTTCATTTATTTGCTCAATTATCTTTAAGCTTAATACTATTTCCTCCATCGCTTTGTAAAAACTGTACAATTCCAATGGTCAAATACATATATAGACACATTTAATATGCACAGTACGTGTGTGTGTAGAAATACTTCCTACCTTCTCTTTCTGTTCTTCAGCCTCTATTTTTATCGGTTGCTCTTGAAACCTGCTACACCATGGTCACCGTAAAGTCTGCTCCACCATCATTCAGGTACGACAGTACTCCAAAAGGTCACAGAAAAATAAAATTAAAAGATAATATGAATCTTTCCATGAACTTTTTGAAGAACCCTTGTATTTCCTTTGCTTTTTTCATTGTATATGTACTGAATTGTTGAATATAAGAATTGTTATATTTTGGGACGTGTCTTCAAGGAGTAAAATAGAGGCCTTATGAAAGTCTGTCTATTAATTATTATCAAGTTTAATTTACAGTATGGTTTGTACAGAATTCTAGGATAGGAAATATTTTTCCTCAGAATTAAAAGTGTGACAGATATTAATCATGGCAGATACTCGGTAAATGTTCATAAATAATCCCCCTCCTCCAGCTGAGAATAATTTGCTTTATATTTCCCAGCCTGCTTGGCAGTTAGATATAGCCGTATGACTCAGTGTTGGCTGGTGGAATGTGAGGCAAAGTGATGTACAGACCCTTATAAATTCCCAAATAATCCTCTGTATTCTCCTTTCTTCCCTACTTTGAAAATTGAACATAGAAAATCCAGTGGTAGATTCCAAGCCCCCTATGCATAGTGGAGCCTGTGCACAGGAGAAGCCTGGATTCCAGGGTAACTGCACCTACTGGAGAACCACCGTTCACACTGGTATGACATGAGCAAGAAATAACTCTATAGTTAGAAGCCACGAAGAATTTGAGGTTCTTTCAGCAGTGAGCTCTTTCCTGACTAATCTGACATTGTGTAAATTTGAATGTTGAGATACTTTGGTAGAATTATCATAGGAGATCATTGCATTTCTAAAAAATCTTTTGGATCAAAGACAAAGTCACTGTTTTTCCCCAATAATTCATATCAAAATGCAATTTATTTATTTCATTTTATTTTTTATATCATTTTTCCTATGAAATACAACGAACATACAAAGAGTTACATGAATGTATACGTAGACCCTAATTAATAACTATGAAGTGAGTATCCTCCCAATTCCCACTTTGGTCAACATATGGAACATTGACATCCAGAAGGCCCCAGCATATACACCTTTCTCATCCAACCATCTAGAGGTAACTACTCTCTAGACGTTTTTATTAAAATCATTTCTCCTTTTTTGTTTCAGTTTAACTACCTATTTATTGTTTCCCTAAACAGTATGGTTTTGTTTTGACTATTTTGAACTTCAGATCATTGAAATCCTTCATATATATCTTGCTTACTTAAATCAACATTATGCTTACAAGAAGTGTGTGCACTGTTGTACATGAATGTACTTGATTCATTTGCATTGCTGTGTATTCAAATATATGGGGATTTTCTAGCAACCATTTAGTTAATCATTTGTTATCTTTCAGTCAGAGAACTTGGTCAGCAGAGGACCTTGAAATTTGTTGAGGCTTGCTTTATGGCTTAATACATGGTTAGTTTTGGCAAATGTTCTATCTGTGCTTGAAAAGAATATGGGGCTGGCCCGGTGGCGCACTGGATAGTGCGCCGCTTGGGAAGCGCGGCGGCGCTCCCGCCCGAGGGTTCGGATCCCACATACAGACCGGTTCCCGCTCAATGGCTGAGCGAGGCGCGGGAGCGACGCCGAGGGTTGCGATCCCGTTGCCAGTCCCCGGTCCGGTACGGGGGCAACACTGAGGGTTGCAATCCGTTGCCGGACACGGAAAAAGACAAAAGACAAAAAAAAAAAAAAAGAAAAGAATATGTATTCTTCAGTTGGTCGTTACCATGTTCTGTATAGGCTCATTACATCATTTTTGTTAATCATATTGTTCCATAGGATTCTGTTTCCTATTCTATTAATTCCTGAGAAAAGCTGTTAAACTCTCTCATTATGGTTGTGAATTTATACATTTTGCCTTAAAGTTCTATTAAACGGTACTTTATATGTACTTTGAGTATCTATCATTAGATGGATATAAATCCAAAATTATTATCCTCTGTGACTTAAAACATTTTATCATTAAGAGCCGTCTATCTTTATTTCAAATCATGCTTTTCGCTTTATTATTTTTTGATGTTAAAATAAGAACACTAGCTTCATTATGTGTAATATTGTCATGCCATAACATTTCCCACTTTTTGACTTTTAGCTGTTTTGCACCTTCACGTTTTATACACTTGTAAACATATATATTTGGTTTAAGAGTCTTTTAACTAGAAATATTTAACAATTTTAATTCAATGTAACCACAATAAACACAGTTTAAGCAAAACTTCTTATTTTGTCCTTGCAGTTTGTTTCACCCATTTTACATTTCTTTTTATCTTCTTTCCTTCTTTTGTATATTTTTGCATATTTTTATATTTTCAATTTCCCTTTACTAGTTTTCAGAGTTAATACCCTGTTTCTATTCTTTTAGTAATGATTCCAGAAATTAAAACCTGCATTCTTAGGTTATCAATGTCAAATTCTAAAGGCGGCAAAAATTCTTTAATAATACAAAGACATAAGAACACATTAACTCTTGAGCTACATGTAATTTTTTTGAGTATTTTATTTCTAATGTATTTTATATGCCACAGATCATGAGATCATTATTGTTTTATAGAGTCAATACTAAATTAGATATATCTATGTATTTACCACCTACTTTGTACATGATCTCTTCTTGCATCACTGATTTGCCATCTATGACCAAGTTCCTTCTGTATGTGGTCCATCCTTTAACATGCCTTTTAACAGGCTTCTGGCATTAACAAATTCTTCAGGTTTTCATTTGTGCAAAAATGGCTTTATTTCATCATCATTCTAAAAATATATTTGCATTGGATTTAGAGTTTCAGGATGCAAATGTTCTCTTCAGCCCACTGAAGATATCATTGTGCTGTGTTCTGGATTCCACTTTTGAAATTAAAAAGTCACCTGTATACTCCCATTGTAAGATTTTTTTCTTTATCTTCGGTGTTTTACTGTTTTACTATGATGGGGCCAGCTGTGAACTTTTTTAAAACAAATGTATTCTGCTTCAGACTCAAGCAAGTTCTTGAATTTCTAGATTGGTCTTTTATCACTCTGGTAAATTCCTAGTTATTATTTCTTCAGATATTGCCTCCGACCATTCTCTCTCCCCTTCTTTTTGAATTTCAGTGCATTGTACATTAGATCTGCTCCCTCTGTGCTCACAGTCTTTCTCACTCTTTCATTTCCTTTTTCTTTTTTCTTATCTTTCTCTCTATATGACATTCTGGCTAATTCCTTCTAATCAATCTTTCAGTTACAAATTCTTTCTCCACCTCAATAAAACTGGCGGTTAAATTTGTCAACTGAGTTTTTAAATTTTGGTTATTCTATTTTGAATACTTATAAATTCTATTTGATGCTTTTTAAAATTTTCTATCAGGAAAGAGAATTTTGTTTGCTTTGGAGAAAGTCTAGTGTGAAACTACATTACACTAAATGCCTAACTTCAGTTTTCCCTACAGCCCAGTGGTATAAATCTGGTTGCAAATCTATGCAAGAGTTGCTTGTGGCCATACCTTTATAGAATTTTTTTTTTTTTTTTTGCCTCCTTTGTCACTGTTAAGATACATTTTTCTTCTGTCCTGCTGGTAGTGTTCATGGAGTGCCCATATCTCATTCATTCTTAATCTGAGTGCGTAGCCTTTTGTGGTCCCAGCTTACTGAGACCAGGAGTCTTCATTAGATATTCCACTTCATATGGGTCTTGAGTTTTGATTTTTCTACCCGTCATTCTGCAACATTGTTGAAATCATTGCTTAAATTTCCTCTGATCAGTAAATGCCTTCAAAGCAAAAGTGATTTAGGGTTCAGCTTACACCTCTCCCGGCTCTTGCATTCCCTGAGATTTGCACCTGGTAATCTGTAATGATCTTATCGTCTCTTAATGTACCTATATCTACATCTAGGTCTAAGTTTATCTATATTATATCTCCCTCTATCCCCCCAACCCAAGCTATATGGCTTTTATTTTAACATTAATAAGAATGTTGGCATAAATATTTTAGTTCACATTATAGGAAATCAATGTTCCTATAATAGATAAATTTGGGATAAATGCCTCATTTCTGTTTTCTCATTCACCTTTTTCTAAAATTGTTATGAGTCAGAAGTCGAATCCCTAGGGTTAGTCCTCTTTTTCGTACTTTGTCTTTCTTGTTTTATGCTGTTTTCTGCTATTATTGTCGTTACCCTTTATTTGAATTTTCATTTTTGTTTCCTTTGGTCTATGTATTTAATATTATAGTCTTTCCTCAAATACTGGATAGATCTTTGACTGTCAATTCACGTTGAGAGTGAGATAAACAACTGATTAGAAGCCCAGTGCGTAGGTACATTTACATAAGGTTGGCAGAATAAATTTGGGCCTTATTTTAGGGAAATTAGGCAATAAGCTTGCTTTTTAACTGATTCCTTACAAATGTAGTTATCTGTGGTTCATTTTCTCTGACACTAGTCTTTTTTTTCTAAAAGATAAATTGTCAATTTTCCGTCTTTGATGGGATACACCTAGCTTTCCTTCTTAGAGAAAGTAACTGGGAAATAGCTGGGGCAGAAGCCCTCATCCTTATATATAGAATTCAAGTTTCAGCCCCATTCCCAACTGAACAAACATTTCTGGAAGAAATTTATCTTTCCATTGGGATAAAGGGGAACCTTGTAAGGCATAGAAGGATACCTGTGGATTTAACTACTCATCACTTAAGAGGAACTTGGTGACTTTCCATGGTTCTGCAGCACAAATTGGCTTTTATATTTTTTGCTTTGTTCCTTGCATTGTGTCCTGCGGTCTTGACACAGTTACCACTCACCCACAAACTTCCTAGATTTTAACACTTTGTTGATACCTTCTTTTTAATTTTGCCTCTTCTGCTCTTCTTATTCTTGTGGATTTACAACTTTTAATTTATTTACTACTATGATAAAAAAAGATCCTAAGGTATAATGGATTTGTTTCAGTATTTGTTGTGGGGGGTGGGAGCTCCAGCAGGAGGTAGAGTCGGGGGTGGGTAGAATCTGAGCTTTTAATGCACATTTCCAAATAATAGGATTTCTGCCTATATATGTTCTCTATTTTGAACCGTTGCATGAATTGATCTTTAATAAAAGTATTTTTTCTATTAAAAAAAATTGCAAATCACTAGTCTAGTTCAATCCACCCCTTTGACAGATGATGAGAGTGAAACCTAGAGAACTGATATGATCAGTCCAACTTTCCAAAAGTAGTAAGTGGAGAATCAAAAATTATAATCCCATTTTTAATCCAAATTCATGGTATTTTCTATTCTACACATAGAAGACCCTCAAGATTATTGTAAGGAATAATATTGCATTTTTATTATCACTTAGAAACATTTCTATTGTTTTTCACTAGAGGCAAATGATGACAAGTGTGTTATAACTCAAAAAATATAATTTATAATACTCAAATTTTTAACTTCTAAATTGTTTTTTTTAAATGTCAAATATTTTAGAGAATAAGGGATAATATACAAAAGAAAAATAATTATTAAACACGATTCAGGGAGCATTTCAAAAATAATACATTACATTATAATTTATTGTTAGTTAGACCCTATTCCTGGATAATATGTTTTGGTGTGTGATTAATTAAGAGCCACAATCTTATAAATGATGTATAAACAAACCAAATTAAAGTTAATTTTTTATTTAAACATTTTATTGCATTCTCCACTTTTATTTTCAATTGTCAGTTATTACACACACACACACACCCCTGCACAATTTTAAAAATTTCTTTTAAATTTTTATGACTAATATGTTTTGGTGTGTGATTAATTAAGAGCCACAATCTTATAAATGATGTATAAACAAACAAAATTAAAGTTAATTTTTTATTTAAACATTTTATTGCATTC